TGCTGGAAAGATTATTTTCCTAGCCCATCTTTTTAACCAGATCACTCTCTCCACTCTTTGCATCCTGCCACTGGCTTCCCCTTTTCTTTCATATCAAATGTAAGCTGCTTGTCTTCACTTTCAAGTGCCTTTATGACTTATCTTCACTCTAAAAACTTTCATCCACCTAGAGATGTCAGCTCCCGCCTCCAATCAGCCCATGACTCTGGTCTCCATTTATAAACAAGCACGTTTATATTTTCTCCCATGCAGTCTCTATACTTGGGAGATATCCCCCCTAAACATCCATAGAGCTGCATCAAGCTATCCTTTGCTGTGACATCTACAAACAACTTGCACATAGATTGTAAGCACCTGGGAGCAGGAACCCACATTTTGGTCTGTGTTTGTGCAGTCCCTTCTGCAACAGTCATGGTCATGATGGTAGTTGAAAAAATAAAATAAGAATAAATAATAATATTTTATAAGAATTCCAGCGTTCATTCTTTAAAAAGTGACTTTCTAGTCCTCATGGCTGAAGAATAAAACTTGAAATCATGACCCAGGTTAACTCTACAGGCTCAAAAAACAAAAGACAAAAATCTTAAAATCTATTATATTTGCAATCTCATGGCTTTTAATCCACTCTCATGATTTTGGGGGAAGGCAAACATGGTATTTGAATGCTTGGAGTCAGAAATACTTCATCAGCTCAATTGTTAAAAGTTGGTGTACCTTTCATATATCAAGCTCTGATGAAGTCTACATTTCTTAAAATTTGCTTTCCGTTCCTGTTGCAAATAGCTAGGAATGCCAGCAAGTGTTTATTATTTTGTTAAGGTAGAAATATGTATCAGCGACAGTTTAAAAAACAAGTATATACTTGTCAACTTACAATACTTGGTACACGCTTTTACAGAGGTGCCAAAAGCAGTGGTGAGAATGCCAAATAGAAGGCTGACTTCTCCTGTACTTGTTTTTGGTTAGGGTCTTATGTAATACAATACATATGAACCAATCCATCTAAGTTTTTTTTTGACTCTGAACCCAAACCTTAAACTTTGGAGATGCTGGGAAATGAAACCCGCATCTGGATTTAACCTTGCAAACCTTTATAAGTGACTAAGATAAAGTCTCAGATCAAAACATGCCTACTCTATTGGAATGCAGATCCAGAACCAGATTTTGTGGCTTGGACTCACTTCTATTTGAAATCAAAACAAAATGACATTTCTGAGTTTTCCAGGGGCTAAACTTGTAGGCAAGGGTGGCTGGAACAGATAAAACAGAAGTTCCTGAAATGAAGATTATGTTCTTCCATAAACTCTGAACAAGACAACAGAGCAAAGCTCCCACCCTCCAGAGCCAGTTGTCTAGCTTCACTCTGCAGAGGCCCAGCATTGACTTCCTGCTGTAACTTTCATTTTCTGGTGCCAGCCAGAATTCAGTATCTGCATTTTGCTACCTGTTTAAGTGAATGTAGTGCTTGTGAAATGTTCTGGCTTGACAAGTCTGAAGGATGATGTTTCCTATTAATTCATGGCACAGAATAAAAGTTATGGCTGGGGAATTCTGGTGCCAGCCAGAATTCAGTATCTGCATTTTGCTACCTGTTTAAGTGAATGTAGTGCTTGTGAAATGTTCTGGCTTGACAAGTCTGAAGGATGATGTTTCCTATTAATTCATGGCACAGAATAAAAGTTATGGCTGGGGAA